GTTTAATTTTTTGAGAGGGTTTTTTTAACTGATTTGCTGGATTGTGATAAAATGTATCTCTAAGAAATAATAAATGAAAATGTTGTTGACAGAYGATACGTTTTAAGAGATGAATGTTGAAGATGAGTCTTTCTTAATTTAATATTTTAGGTTTAATTCAATCTGTTAGGTTATGTATGTTCTAAATGCTACAGAAAACAATTTGGTAAAGGTCATTTGTATATTTAGTTCATAAGAATAATTTGCTTCAATAAATTGTGACAGAAACTGGCTTTTGACTTAGACCAAGTTCTGAGTTTAGTCTCCTTCCTGTCACTAGTTTTGACCAACCTGTGGGAGTTATCTGGACTGTCAGTTACAGTCTGTGGAGTCTTAATGTTTTAATTCATTGCATTGGCTCTTGTCACCAAGCAATTTCACACAAATAAGCCTCGTATTGTATTTCATACTGTTGATATTTTAGGCATCTGCAGCAGAGAAGCAGCTCTATGGTGTCCTGCAGGAGGACGTCTGTGAACATGGAAGATCAGACAAACCATTAGAAAATAGGAAAGTGAGACACAAATGACACTAAGATAGAACAGAAACAGAGGAACCCACAAGCAGTTTTATGTTACAAAAAACCTTCATAGTTGTTACAGTATATAGACTCCAAAGTATGCTCAAATTATTACTATATGTTCTTTTTTTGTTGCCAATTTGATTGTTACAGAAACCAACCYGTAGTGTTGACTGATTTGAAACTGATAAATATGCACAGTGACAAACTGGCTAGCTACTATAACTGATTAACTCTTGAAGTCATTCTTATTCAAGATGGCCACTTTAAGCTGGCCTTAAAAAAAACAAGATATTTGCTATTACCCAATCATTGTTTGAAATGTGCAAAAATTTGGTGTGATAGTAGCCGAGAGTCATTCACAACAAATACTTAAGTGCTTCTCGTTTTGCCAGGACTTTATTGAAAACTTTATTGAAAACTAGAAAAATATCTCGTGAACCACTGCACATGTTTTAATGATACTGTCTAAACTTTCATCTACAGTTGATACAACTGACAACCTTTGGAGTTTGTTCATTACAAGATGACAGATTACAGAAAAGTGGCTGCAACTCAATCAGTTTTACCTACACATTCTCACTCCCAAGTCGTCACATATTGACGCTTTTCCAAAGGTTCCCTCTGCGTCTTATTTTGACGCGCAGGGTACCCCCCTCGCGTCAGTCCTTGACGCCCGCGGATTTTCCAGGTTGCGCCACCAGGGGTCTTTGGGTCGGGGGTCTCAGGTTA